GGTTTAACTCAGACGCATCTCTGAGGAAAACGGTTGCTGCAAGTGTGACATGGAATACCCCTTTTCATAAGTTTGGCGTATGATCCACATAGGCCTTTAGACTGTAGCAATTATGCACCACGCTTGTTGTGTAAATGGTGCGGACCGTTGGAATGACTCCCTCTCAATGATTGGCAGGTGTTCTGTTTATGACGTTGACGCTAAGGTCACAGCCTTCACGTCGCCGTTGTGGGTTTGCAGACCGTCCCATCTGGCGTGCCAGTTAATTGCGTCAGCGCGAATTTGGGACAGATTTCACGAGGACCTGACGGCGAACTTTCATGGTTAAGTCTATGGATAGCCCCAGGTGAGCTTGCCGAGAGACTGAGAGCTGCTCGCCGCGGAGCAGTGTAAATTACCCTGCGGCTGCTCCAAGCACCGCTGAATTTGAACAAGTGAACATTGGTTTAAAAGCCTATCGAGGGGGGCGAAACCATGTTTCCATGTTTAAAGGTACGCAATTTTTGGCACTTGGATATCGGCGAAACCCTGCCCGGAATTTAGAATCCAGGTTAAATGTAGGATGCACTGGAGTTTATTCGAGAAATTGGTATGACGAAGTAAAGCTTGTAAAAACAAGATGAATATTTATAGGTCTAAAGGTGTGCAACAAAGTGTTGCTGAGCAACAGCTAAAGAACCATGAGTGCACAAGTGCGCTAGTAGCCGCATGATGTGGACGTTTCGATTTTTGTACATCGCCAAGAATTAGTGGACAACAGATGGGTGCACTTTACACTAGCACTGACCTTATGAGGAAAGAGAAGAGACGGGCGGCACTCATTTCGTATTAAGTAAGAATCTGCGTTTGAGCGCCCAAATCATTCGTAACACGTTTGCATGTAGCTTGTTCGTGTTTTTCACTGACTTTAAATAGCAGCGTAACAACACGATTAGATCCTTCACGGAAGGTGTGTGATGTAACCGCTGATCGGTCGGAGTGTACGCAAACCTAGCACCGACCTAATCCAAGCTCATGAGGAACGACTTAGTTGGGTTGACTGGTAGGTCAACATCTGCAGGCTATATGGACAGGTGGTCGAAAAGTACGTCGCATTCATCGAGGGAACAACTACTCTCCAAATTTTTGGGACATCTACGAACACGACACAAAGCGACTAAAGTAATCTAAGGACGTGTGCATTTTCGGAATCCAATAGGTATAGGGCGAAGGTGCAGTTCTGTCGTACAGGGCTACTGACAGCGAGGGACGTAGAAATGTTGTCACAAACTATAACTTTTTACCAGAGGCTTATAGCCTCAGTGCGCCTCGGGTGGTAGTGTAAGTCTCAGTGACCCCATTTTTGAGCAAACAATGCCATAGACCAGGTCGATTAAGCAAGTCAAATGCAAACCGAATGTCGAGAAATGCAACGATGGTAGGTTACGGGTATATGTTGTGAGGTTTGAAGATTTGGGGACATGAAGGTTTTGACCTAAACATTCACGGTCGGACGGACGCCATCGTGAACTTTCCGGATCGGGGCTAGTCAATATGTAAAATATATGCCCATTGCTTGGACACAACCGAGATTAGACTGATCTCTTGATGATTACCACTTTAAGTGCGAGGAACAGCGATCGTAAAATAGATAAATTAGGCGGATCAAAAACCACAACATGAGACAGACAGATGTGGTTACCGAACAACGAATAAGTGCATGTCATGGGGACCTAAAACTAAGCATCTATGCTCAAAATCCACCTGCTCGTCAATCAAGAGCCGACGTCCATACAGCGAGATTGTCCACCACGCAGTAAAATATTGACGAAGTCAACTCAACTGGTGATGAAACGTATGCGAGGAAATTACCGGGCTCGGAGAACAACCTAAAACTTTAACAGCCAACCTGCTTTGCTGGTTTTCCTATTTACTCGCATCTTTTTTAGAATTCCGGATAATAATTGACACAATAAATAAAAATGCGCATTTTCTATATGTGTGATGGCGCCGAACAATAAAATCGGCTAGCTGGTGCCTACAGCAAAACACCAGGCTAGCAGACCTCTGGTAAGCGTCTGTTCAAGCCGGCGGCCTTACATAGACTCGTGTCGAATTGCACTGTGGACCCCTGTTTTGCTGGGAAGATCCAGCGGCCCGACCCAGGTCAGGCAACTGGGTTCGAAACACACACAAGCGGGCGGTGAAGTCCAATGGAATTGGAAATCTTTGTCAGTGGATGCAACGCCTTACATAGCTTTGCGAATCACCCGCTTTCTAGATCTTTTTACTGACACTAAGCTTTCTTAGACCAGTGCATTGTATGAGTTGGTGAATCTTCCGTGCAGTTCCAGAAAGAGAGCATCGACCTATAGATATGAAGAACGTTGAGATCGCCAGGCATCATGGTCACTGCAAGACTTTGTTTGATCTACCGACTAACAACACGACGCCCTTCAGTACAATCGGATTCCGCTGAACTATTCCTGCCACAGTCGAACAGGTCCGTGGAGTAAGTGGAGTTGCAATCTTTCAGAGGGTTCCGAGTAACGCCGTATCTTGATTCTCGGAGCAGGGTATCCTTGGTGCCTTGCTGCGGATGGCACCTGAGTGGACGTGCCACCGTAATTTGGTAGATCAACTGAATCATACAGTGATTTGTTTTCGGTGACCCTCCGAAACTCAGATGAATTTGGGCACAAAGCACTGCATAGTATGAGTCATACATAGTAGGTGGACCAGATTGATACGCAATCCTTTACACTGCCCCGCCATCCGGAAATGACGGCGATGTGTTCAATATAAAATCATGTTGCGGTACCCGTGCCAAAGCTGCACGCCATCGCGCGTGTCCCCAGATTGCGGATTAGGCAATGCCATCATTGTGGAAGTAACTGCGAACAAGTCTCGTTTGTCTTGCCTGTGAGATGAATTGGCAGTTGCAGACGATCAGAGACAACGCCTCAGTGCGTGAGGAGTTCTGGACTGGTCATCTGGTTCTCAAGCGAATACCACACATGTTTTCACTGCGCTGTGTCAGAGCCAAGGGGACCGACTATAGGGTCACTTGCAACTCATTTCTGTGACCAGAAGTGAGTACCTAACGGGGGAGAATAGAAGCCTTGCTGGTCATCGGCTCCTGTATGGACTGCTAACGAACAAAAAGACAAATGAGCCATCTGGCTGTCCAATGTCTACATACTTAACAGCTAGCTGCATGGCCCAGCAACATGCTTGAATCAGCACACCGCTTTGTGGCTCAGGTCTATAAAACGTAAGACACGGGGTGTGGTCCCCTGAGTCAACCCTCTTCCAACCTCTGGGCAATCTAGAAGCTTACTGCCAACACAATACATAAACCAAGTAACACTTCCCCTGATTGTCCCGTACTCCCCTTGAGGTTGTTCTTACCCACGGGTAGTGACTTAGTACCGCTTTTCCATTGGACCAGTGTTATATATATATATATATATATATATATATATATATATATATATATATATATATATGTTGAGGAAGTAAAACACCAAGTGGCCGGACGTCTTGTAACTTGCCTGAATTTGGTATTCGAAGAAAACAAAAGATTGTCTTCACACAATTGTGGTGGTCATTTTAGCTCTTATTATTCGTATCTAACATGCTGTATCTAGTCATCAGGAGTCTTCCCGAGACTAGTTTTATGATTTATTCTACCGCAGACCGTTTACCATATATTTTCGCTTTGCTTAAAACACTTTATTCAACTTGCCTATGACAGGCATGATGCTTGCTTTAGTTTGCTTTCTTCTCTGGGCCAAATTACTGTAAGAATGTTTTGCCAACATAGGCAGTTAAATGAGAATTAGTTTCTGTTTTGATCGAGTGTACAATTCGAAACGAGAGCTACTAACTACCTTCTGTACCCCCATCAACAAAGCATAGACGAACAATTTCGATTGGTGCGTACGGCCTGAAGTGCGGGTGAGTTGCGAAACTGGTTCATTATCAACAGCACGGGTTGCTCGGGGGTTGCTTCCCTTGCCAAGCCGTGCGGTCGCACCATTTCACAGCTCGCGATTCTCTGTGGATAATTCTTCGTCATCTTGCTGCTCATCATCGAGACTACACCCTTTGCATTACGACTTATCAGCTTTAAGATGTTTATACCAAATTTTCGGATTATCCTCAATAGTTCAACGTCATATTCACTTCGGCCATTTAGACGGAGTTGTGACCAAAATTAACGGGCGGAAATACTTCATTATTCAAGCTCCCGATGGATCGTTTTACTCTCACAACAAAAAGTTTGTTCCCAGTTATAGGATTAGCCCAAAGTTCTGCTTACCTAACACTGTTTAGTCCTTGCAATATATTTTGACGCCATCAGTTCACTGCAGTTTTCCCCATGTCCAGCGCCGCAAAGAATACCACCTTGGGTGTCCCTTGCAAGTACCATCGATCAGAAAGGTACCTATTGGTTATTCCCGCTTTATGCGCTTAGCGTGCGCCGTGTCCAGCATCAGCTCGCCTACCAAGTTCAGAGAGCCAGTCGTCTGACCGTGTGCGCGTGGGTTCGCTTGTGCGTGCGAGTGTGTGTAGACAACTGCCTACTCCACCTCTGGGCCTGGACAGCACGGAGGACATGACGAGAAACGGCGTCCAATTCATAACGAATCCTGGCGAGACACCCCAGTAGCATTTGTGACTGCAGCACATATTATCATGCCAGTTGCGCTCGTTTACATGCAAGGGAAATGTAGGACTTCAGCAATAAAAATGCTCTGCTTCATCATTGACTGTATGGCCGTCCCATTCGTTAGCTGCACTCTCATTTCGGCGCAGAAATGCGATAACCTAGCTGTAACGGCAGCAGTATCTAAGCTTAGTAAATGTTACCCTTCGGATTCGACAACACTCACGCTGGGGGCCCAGGGCTCCATGGGAGAGAATAATAGCGGAACAAGTGTTAGGGTATAGCAGTGAAGCTAGGTACACGGACAGCTTAATCTGAAACCATGCAAGACAACTTAGTTATACCTACTATGGCAACTCGCATCATGGCCCAATCTATGTTGCATGAGAACAGCTCCGTGGAGCAGAATGTGCCGGCACACTTGAACACACCCGCTACTGCTGGAGACACGACTACCTATGTGTACGTTGCAGTTTTCCAAGAACGAGCAGCAACTTCTGTGCTTTCAACTAAAACGGTCACACAGGACGCTGGAAGTAACACCGACGCTCTCATTACTCCACAACGAACTCAGATCACATTGTTTCACGAGCCGGTTACTCTTAGATGATCCCGAGTCGCTGACACGCGTATACTCTAGTGCTTCTAAAGCTAACATAAACTCCTTAAACGATAAGTTGCTGGCCGACAGACAGTATTGAGCTTCTATGTACCTACTATTAAAACTCCAAACAAGGCGGAATGGTATGATGCACATCATACGGCTCTCAAACTCGATGCACTACGGAGAAACACGGCTGTTGCGTGACGATACAATAAACAAACGATCTTGAGGCGGTTCTTTTATCGCGCAACCGCCTTCGGACTGACTCACTTGACGTTCGAATATTTTTCGGTGTCCGTTGGAGCCAGCGTCAATCAAAAACACCGGAACCTTGACTACTTCCATCAAGTTAGCAACGAAAACTCCGTCTTTATCCATAATGCATTGGATCTTCAATGCTCTGCTGGACATGAAGCATAAACCAATGATTGGGATGAATGGCGTTACCTTCGTCAGGCGCTCTTACTGGGCAACGTGTTCTCCAAATCGATCATAAGACTACTCTTATCATCAAACTACAAGGAGTGCGGCCCCAAAGTGAAAATATTTTCTTCTAAGCCAAACACATGGCAGAAACTATCCTTAAAATGTAGCGTAAGGAACGTAACAAACGCCTTTAAGAGCTATGCATTAAAGCCTTAAACCCCACAACCCAAACGAACGAGAGAGAGCAGTCACCCTGGTTTGACCGTGACTCGAGTAAGTCATTCATCCGAAACTAACCACTGCAAAACATAACCGTTTGCTGGCGGGGCGGTAACTACCCCAATACTTAAAGTGACCAAAACTTCATCCTGTGGTCATTTTACTAGCCAATATGAAACGGCTCAAAGTTCAGAGTCAGTAGCTCACCAATAAACAATTGGTTGCCGATCCCACAAGGATCGGCAAAAGTTCTCACTTGACACTCGTACTGTCAGATACGCTCCGAACATTCAAAGGGCTCTTCTGTATGTAAACCAATGCTTAGGGCTTCTCCAACAGATCATCTGAGATGCAGCCTCCTCATGCCTTGCTATCTATGAACCAGATATTACGTCAAGTTCAGCAAGAGAAACAAAACACGAAGCTGTAAGCGAACAAGTGTTCTACTAATTCTTCGTCAGGCCTTTAGCTAAGAGAATTAAGAAACACCTCCCAGGTTGGCTCTACAATCTCAAGAATAGGACAAACTAGAGCGCGATAACGAACCATCCAATCACACAAGCCACCAGATAAACAAACAAACATCCTTTCAGATCAGCTAAAGAATACCACTGAAACATAACCATCTTGTAAGTGCAAGCCTACTTGCCGCCGTTGAGGCAGTATTCATACGCCTGACAAACCTGGACTTATGTGTCCAGAAGAAGATGACACAAACACTACAACTTCCGAGGCCGACCACCGGAAGGGAAGGAAGTGATGGCACTCCGCAACTCCAACTGACTTTAGTCATGTGATCAGCCGACCGCCACCATAGTCATAAGTTAAATTTTAGAATCAAGTGCTTCTTTGTTATGCTGACGTTTGCAACAGACCTTACCCTAAGGTTTGTTGTCGTATGAGCCCGAGGAAGAATTAATCGCAAACAATTGTTCGCTTAAAGCTTCGTGTTTTGTTTCTCTTGCTGACCTTGACGTAATAAATGGGCATTCTGCTAGAGTTGGAACCAGATATTGATAACTGGGACTTGGCTTAACGATTAAATCACTGATACGGCGATCGATCTACCGGGTACGTCGGTACTGCAAAAAGATCGACCTAGTAGTGAAGGTAGTGTATGCGCCGACTATAGCAGGGATCTGTATCTCCATGCCATTGATGATCCAGTGACTAAGGTTGTAGACTCACTTTAGTGCCGCCTGCAACTAAGACGTGGTACAAGTTTAAGTTTAAGTGGAACTGGAACGATAGGATAAATCCTGTGATGTCTCCACTTGCGCGGGCCGTTAATCTTTGTTTGCCCTCGAATACCGTTCTCCCATGTCTACACTGAAAGTAGACAACCCTTAAACATTTACATGAAATGCCGTTCTGGCAAAGGCTAAGACTCATCTTCTCCTTGTGGGAGATAAGAACTTGCAAAATCTAGAGTTTCCGGCCTATTGTGCTGAAAGCTCACTGCCAAACTACAAGAATCAGTTGCAGAGCTACCACTTCATGTCCGCGTTACTTCTCCTATGAGGTTCAGAAAGAGGAGCTAACGCCAATTCGGACCTCCGCTTTGCCAATGAGGAACTTATGATCATTACAGTAACAGTGTGCACCACCTTAGGGCACGTCGATCATACAAAACTGCTTTTTGTTGTGTGCATAGCTTTTTCTCAGCCGCGTCAAGAGAAAGAACTCACAACGGCTCTGCACACAAGCGTTCTATTCACAAGTCGGAGGTAATGTACCATTAACTGGGTGATTATAAACTCACTCGTCCACACGATCGATCCCCCGATCGCCCGCACTGAGGCAGATGATTGATCTCGCCCCCGGTTTCGGACACCATGACATCTTTCCGCTACATCTGTTACGCAGAAGTAAGCAACGGAGACATCGCGGATTTCCGCAAATTCGCAGATCACAACATTATATCCGAACCCGTCAAGATCAGTAATTGGTCACCCCTAGCGAAACAATCCCAGAATGTCGCTTAAGAGAAGTTCGTTACTTAAGTTAGCACTATAGTATCAGACAAATCAGAGACGAAGATCCTTAACAAAGCGAAGGTAACAATTTACTGAGGAGTAGGACTAGAAAAACGAATGATCCTGATTCACTTTAGCAAACATACAAACCTGATTCAGACGCCGGAAACTTGAAAACCTACGTAATGGAATAAAGCCGCTGTGTCATTCCTGTCCATGAAGATGAACTTAAACACCAACAGGATTTGGTAAAGTACTGCTGCAATCCTAAGCCACTCCACAGAAATGACAACCATCTTCGCAAAGTACAGCGTGGTATCCGGCCTCAAAACACCGTCTGCGAGCAAAAGCGAACCAACCAGGAAGCAGCTACTGATCTTAGATACCAATTCGCTTGTACTTTTCAGAACGCCTTACCATGTCCTTTCATCCTTACATAGACCAAGTCACCACCAGAATTTCTCTACATCTCATTCCCCACCGTGGATGTGCTGAAGCGACTGAGGTCACTGCGAATAGAGTTCATCTGTTTCGGACATAATCCGCTCCAAGGTTTTGATGATCGCTACCGCAGAATGTACAAAACTATTAAATCTTCCTTACACTGTATCGACGAGATACAGGTCCCAACTCTGTGGAAGCGTGTAACAACCCCTCTCACTTACACGGGAGGCAATGGTTTAGTGCCTGCCAACTACCGCACCATAAGTCTTCTTCCTGTGCTTGCTTAAGCGAAGGAAACTTTCGTCGCAGTAGCACTCATGGGATATTTCCAAAAGCGCATCTCATCATTAAAGGGCAACATGTCTTCCACCAAAACCGCTAATGTACAACCAACTTTTTGTTATCCCGTGCCACCTGATGGCATCCGTCAATGCTAGCAAAGGAGTGGATGCAGTCTAGTTCGATTTCTCTAATGTACTTGGTAGTCTAGCCCACCGCATTCTTTGTTACACGCTGCGAAGTTGGGAATTTGGTGACGCCATGCATGGTTAATTACATTGATTCCTATTCCAGTGATGCCTGAATGTGCGAGCTCGCAGCGCTCTGTTGAATCCAAAGAGGTGCACCGTGGCGTCCCTCAATGCTCTTTACTAGGACCACGACTATTCTTAGTATTCATGCAGGACTTCACGGGAGCATTGGCGGCAAACGTTCTGGTGAAAGCGGATGAGCTCAAGAGTTGGCGGGCAGTCAAGCGAGTAGAGGACCAAATGGAACTGCACGGCGAGCTTAACAAGGCATGCGAGAGATTCACTCATAATATGCTTGATTTTAATCGTGGGAAGTGTAAAATCATGAGCATGTGCCAACAGAGCATCTATGCATATCTTCTGGGAGAACACCTCCTGAAGTGCGCTTCCCATGGTGATCTTGGGGCGCCAGTGTAGAACGATCTCGGATGATCAAGATAGGCTGAGATACCAGGGAAAAAGCCAGCCAAGACTTGCGCCTATTGCCATGGGCGTTTAGCTGGTTTGATTCCAATTTCCTTTCACGAATCCTAAACGCTTACGTGAAGCAACATGTGATATATGCCATCCAGGTGTGGCACCGCCGGCAAAAGTGTGACCTCACTGCTCTTGAGAATTCACAACGGAGGGAGACAAAATGTAACTTGATTGCTCAAACTCCCTTACCATTTCACATTGAAGACTAGGAGTTTGCACCGAAAATCATCGCCTTCTGCGAGGCGATCTCCTACTTATGGATCAGATTCTCAAGCAACCTAACCACACATGTTGACCCTTATTAAATCTCAGCCACAATACAGAACTGAGCGACCCCATTTGACGTTAGCCACAGAGTAGAGCAGGTTAGAATGCCACTGAAACGTTTTTCCCACTAATGTATCCCAGCTGTGGAAATTACTTCTGCATTCCATCCTCTCTGCTCCTACGTTAGTGGAATTCAAAACTCAACTCGACTATGCATTACACCAGTTGCATCACAAAAACTGACGCGATTAGCTGGATTCCGAAGCAAACTGTGTTCACGTAAAATTTGCGACAAGTCCACCGCTACACACTATTTTTCTTGATGTCATCGGTTTTTTGTCTCATTGTTTACCATCGAAAGCAGTTAACTGTTGACTTTTTTCAGCTCTGACGAAAACATTGTTCCAATCTTCCAATGTACGTGGTCGGAGTGACCTGACGATATCATTCCGTCAGCGCCTGTGTGGGAGAGGTCATGACCAACTAGGTTTGCACACAACCATATACCGTAAGTCCGATGGATTAGGGACTAATAATGCATTCCAGTATGGGTAGCGTGATTAATTTACGCAGTGGCGCGCTTATGTTGAAATTCGGCCATTTAAGATACTTGCACCCGCCATTCAATAGTTTAGGACTAGTACCTACTAGTCCAAGACGGTGTGCG